CTCCTGAATGGATCTTAGCAACCTGGGAGAGCTTCACCCCAACAATTCGGACAGTCGTTTTTTTAATAATGATGCTTTTTTATACTTCCTCATTTTAGGCTCTAAATGAGTGCAAAGTTTCACTGCGTTTCATGATAGTTTATTTGCACAATCCATCGCATGAGGCCTGTGAACGCTTTGTACGTGAAACTTTGCTCAGCCAACCGATGAAACTGTTCCTGGAACGAAATGATATCGTTTTGTTTGGCGTATCTGTACGCAGCCAGGAGGGATACAAAGGTAAGATTGGCAATGAAAAAAATTGACTAACGCACTGGCTGCCAGTGTGAAGATGCGTTATTTGCATAGTTCCCCGCAGTTTTTATCGCTACCAGCACTGGTTTTTCCGGCAAATGTTTTTAGCTAATCAAATTAAGACTGACCACTAGGACTGTCGGGAAACACCCTCTTAAAATTTCAACTTTGTAGCTTTCCTGGCTCCCGAATTAGCAACTTATCCGAAAAAAACTTTCACAGACCCGTACTTGGGTACCACGCAGTCCCGATGTCTGGGTTTGAGCCTATTAATACCTAATTGGATGGAAAACATCCCCTTAAAATCCCAGTTTCCCGAGTTAGCAACTAACCCGAAAAAATTTTCACGATCCCATACGTGGGTACTATGGGTAAGGCCCCATTTTGGGGTTTGGGGCCCGTACGTGCATGTAGCTCCCTAAGCTCCCAAAGTTTCAGTCCTGTAGCTTTTGTAGGTCTTGAGATGAAAAATCGGTACAGACGTGCACACAGACACACACACAGGCAGCCCCTCGTCAATACGCGTTTTCTGCATTGCACAGACGCATAAAAAACTATTCCGAAGGCGTTTTTGTTCAGTTTTTAGGTTTTTAAAAGATCGTGAATTAAGTACTTATGTTAGCATCACTTCGTGTCAGTGTTTGCTTCATTCTTTTTTAGTTTCAATGGCACTTCGAGAAAACACGTATCCCTTCCTTGGTTTGTTGTGTATGCGCGATACGCGAATGGTTCTGGTAAGCTGACCTGTTTTTGATGATACCTTTATCAGTGTTGGTGTCTGCTGCCCTTATGATACGAACTTTTGGTGTTATTTCACTAGACTGTCGCTTCACCAGCAATGCCTTCGTGTTTTTAACGCAGCCAGCACTTCTGCGTGGCTGCTGTAACTGACGCAGAATTGCCCCGGTCACTAGTTTATTGGCGATTCTTACGCTTGTTTTCCTTTTTTTCTTCGCTACTTTAGATGTACCATATTCGCACTTCGCACTTTTCAACTTAACGGACCGAAACGTCTTATTCCTCCCTCCTTTCCTCATCCTCTCCTCTTTTTTATCCAATACGCCTTCGATACTTTGGCAACCAAAGTCAACCTGAATGCGACAGTCGACTTATCAGCCTGGGTAGCTCCTGGGTCCTTCTATATTGCCCGTAAAATGTAAAAGGTATGTCAGAAATTAGGCGTGTAATGGATCCCATTCTCATTGGATTCCGAGAAAGGAAGTGTTTTAAATCACAGTAGGAGATAGTCACTTGGTTATTTGCTAAAAAAAAAATGGACATCAATGGAAACATTGAAAAAAAATCAACCTTGTTACTTTGCGCATGCTAGGCATGGGCAGTAGAAAGCTGGTCAAGAAAGAGTTGCAGTTTTGAGTAGGAGCCATTTAGGTTTTACGACTTGAAGGCGAATATGAGCTGGAGCCGATGCTTCACACAATGCAGACATCGATTGACGAAAATCGCCTGTATTTGGATGCTATTAAACATGAA